CTTCCAGAGTAACCAACACTACAAGTACAATTATCAGTGGAAATACAGTTTCCAAATCCAGAGCAAACACTGGAATCATTGAAATTCACACCAAAACAAGTATAATTCAATGGAATGACAATAGTGGACTCGCAACTATCTCCATAAAACCCATTGTAACCATGGAATTATCTACAGAAAATAGAATTAATCAATTAGAACAATTATTTGAAAGTAGAATTAAAAAAGAATTACAATTTAATAATAATTCTTCTAAAAATAATATTTTGGATTTAATTTTTAACAAAATTAAATCAATGTATATAATATTAATTTATATATTTTAATAGTATTTATCATTATGTTAAATAAAATCCATTTTAATTAAATCAATGTTGTATTGCTGTTTATTGATGTTGCCGAAGTAAGAAGTGTAGTTCTGGCACTATTCAAATTTTATTAATTTTAAAAAAAATTAAAATACAGTATTTTAAATAGATTTTATTTAGACAAATAGTATAATACAATATAAATAAAATTAATCAGAATCTTCTTCGTCATCTGATTGTATGTTTTCTAAAAAGGAAAGCATGTAATTCACTTGATTATTTACTCCACCCTTTATAATACAATAGAATGTCGATATTTCATCACCACAACAATGTAAGATAACCACTCGATTGGAAATGAATTAAGGAATCTAATGAGACCAAGATTTAATACTCATGTTCAACAAATTATTGAGAAAATTCAATTCAAAATATTTTTTTAACAAGCCTTGTTTCTTCAACATCAGAGTTTATTTTTCACCATATTAACTGATTGATTCAATAGATTCGTAAGTTCTCTCACTTTCGCCAAAATAGAATCGAATGATTTGATTTGGAAAGGGATTTGTGATTTGATATAATTTTAAATTGGCAACAAGTCCACTCACTCTGTTAGAACGGAATGAATGATGAACACCAATAATTGAACAAATACAATCTGTGGCCGCCACAAAAACTTCACTTCAGCATTTGATTTTTCCATCAATTTCATCACCACAACAATATAAGATAACCTCTTGATTAGAAATTAATAGAGGAATCCAATTTAATGCTCATGTTCATCAAATTATTTCAAATTTTTTGAACAAGCCTTTGAAAATTATTGTTCACTCGTAATTATCACCAAATCAGAAATTGATCAATTGGTTCTTTCACAGTCTCCATTTTTGAGTGACTACATACTCATTTGGATAAGGATGTACGATTTGTTTACATTGTACACACAACAAACCTTCTATTTGTGAACAACATGAACACAATTAAAATCGAATAAATAGTAGAAGCGCTCAACAGAGTTTCTTCCACTCATACAAAAAAAACAAACAACCATGATTCACCTTAATGAATCTAACAATCATCAATATATTCATTGTATTGAATTTCACTCGAATGAACTTTTTCAAGGCTTTGAAATTTTAATCGATAGTAAGTAACCTTGTTGTATTGATATTAACCAACCTCTTCATCCAGAACATCATTTTTTCGATCTTCGTCTCCCCCTGAAAATGCCAACCATTGGAATAAATGAATATTTAGATCCCAATTTCTTACCAAAGAATGAAAAGGCAAGGAGTGAAAATTCATATAACAAGAAGGTAGAAAATACAGTAAGTTTGTTTTTATATAATAAGGCCAATGGTTTAAATGTTGCATTTACACAGAGTTGCTTGTCAGTAATCAAGACTAAAACAGTAAGAATGAATCGTTTCATCTTGATTCCATAATGTTTGAAATTTGGTCATGAATTCGGAAGTAAACATGTTCTTCTCTAATAAATTAAATAATATAGTTGTTGTTGTTTTAAAAGGCTAACAGTCTGTACTATGAACTTTATCCTTGTGTGTTACCTGCACTATTTATCCAGTACACACCCAACCAATCAATCAATTGATTAAATCTCAAGAAACAATTAAAAAAAATGTTCAAATTCCCTAAATATGCCATCTCGGTTTCTGACTATGAAGTGGAGCCAAATAATTCTGAAGGTTTGATATCACTCAAAGTTGGTGATCTGATGATTCTCCTTCGTGAGTATGAAACTGGTTTGGGTTGGGCATTGGTTCAAAAAGTGGATATTCGTGATGTTCATCGAAATGGATGTCGAGTCTATGATCATGATATTCCACGTAATGAGAAGCATATTGGTTTTGTTCCGACTGCCTTCTTGGCTGCTCTTCGATTTGAACCACAGAAATTTGATCCTTCTGTGCCACTCGATTTGCAAGTGGCTCTGAGTGAGAATGGAGAAGAGTATCAGAAGAAGATTGGTGTCAGATTTTATATTTATGAAGGATACTATAGAGATAGACATGAGGATGTTTGTATGATTTCAAAGGCAAAACTCAAAACCAATGTACCAAAGATGCACTGTTTGGAGAGTGATAAATTTGAGGATTTTAATATTTCAATGGAGGAATGGGAGAAGAAGAGTGTGGAGGAGTGGAAGATTAAAGCAAGAGAAACTATTGCCCAGCGTAAACCAATTCCTATTCATGATGTTTTCTTGGTGAAAAATTCGAAACATCCTGCTCATTTGCATTGGCTCACCAAAGGTTCCTACGTTGCTGAAACTCTCAATAATGCTCTATTGGCCTATGCTGATAGACCTTGTTTGGGTTATAGAAGAAAAATTGCCAAGGATCAATATGAGAACAAGTATCGTTGGTTTACATATGCTCAACTCCACGAAAGAGTATTGAGATTCGGTAATGGGTTGAGAATTTGTTTCAATAATGAAAAGCTCTTGACTCAACACAGAGAAAATCAAAAAGAAATCAACAGAGGATTCGTTGGCATTTGTTCAATTAACAGACCTGATGGTTTGTGCTGATGA